GTTACCTGGGGGGCAGGGCACCTGTAAGGCTTGGCAGGTGGGGTTGCCTGGTGACCTGGGTTAAGCCAAAACCCAGCCTCCGTAGTTGAAACAGTTATTCCTGAAAGTGGTGGGACCTCCTGTTCCTGTTTGCAAGTTATTTGGGTGTAAAAATGTAACTCCAGATCTTGCAGGCTCAACAAGTCTGTTTTAATTTGGTTACAGTTTTCCTTTTTGCTCCGAGGCTGGCTGTCCTCAGCCTTAGGGACGAAAGGTGGCTCTTGCTTTATCTCGCTCTCACCTTCATCCAGCTTCCTGGGTGACTCCCAGGGAAATCTGTCCTCCTCTTTATCCCTTCATCCCTTTCTTATAAACCCAAGCTATGTTTCTATTTCTGAAAGTATTTTTCCTGCAGAAGTTATGCCTGTAAACCTGTCTCTACAACTTGTTTAGAACGGTCAGATTTCACAGAACTGCTAATGACTGTGTGAACACCATTTGTTTCCTAGACAAGCTCCAAAGAAGAGCTGCCAAAAGCAACCAAGTTTCTGGCTCTGGATAAATGCCTGCCACACAGAGACTTCCTGCAGGTGATGGACATGTGCACTGGGTTTTCACAGTCAGTATTTCACTTGTGTGGGCTGCTACTGCTGTGCTTGGATATCAGCTGGAGAATAGTGCTGATCAGTTTTAAAGAAAGTAGGAATGGGGGATATGTGGAGTGGTCTTTGCATAATTTTGTCCTGAAATAAGCAGACCTCGGGTCTTGCCGTGCAGGTGCAGCATTTGCTTATCCCTGCCATCTCCTTTCACCTTGGAAGAATAACTTGACTTATATGGATGAGTCTAAAATTCCTTGCTGTGAGAGGGAGCCCCTGACAGCTCTTCTTCAAATGCAGTCAAGTGTTTTATGAGTCTGAAAGTAGCTTTAGTTGATCAGCTTAAAGGGAAGGTGGTTCGTTCTCTGTGCTTTGGGCACGAGCTGGGATCCATTTGCCCCAGGAGCTACCTCTGAAGATAGGAGAGAGCGTGAGGATGGGCTTTGGCTGTGCAAGGGGTCACTGGGGTGCTAGTCCAGACCTAAAATCCTGTACCAAAACTGGTCTGGGTTAGTACTACCTTCAACAGCGTGGTGATGCCCCTGCGTGTAACTCTGGTTTAAAACGCATCTTTTGTTATTTTTTTTTGTTCTAAACTGCCTTAAAAGGTGGAATTACTTTATGGATCATTTAAAATCAGAGTCTGACCAGTGCTTTGACTAAACCAAACACTTTGATTTGGGTTAATGTCACTGAAGACAAATTTCAATCCATCAGCGGCTGAAAGAGTTTAAAACCAATTCCTGTTAATTGCTGTGTGTTCATGTAGCAGAATAACTATTGCCATCAGTTCTTGATGTGTATGTGAATTTAAGAGTAGGCAAATTCAATTCTAAGTTGCATAACTGCCTAGTTGCTGGCAGGAGGGAGGGAGGGTGTTCTGCTTTCTATTTGCTGTAAGCTAAAATTCAGAAATGCCTTTTTTACTGTTGTTGGTTGTCCTTTTTTAGCCCCTTCTGGTCTAAACCTGTAGGTGGGGCTTGAGAGGACTTGTTTGGTTGAGACCCCTAGCTCAGTGTACTTTAAACTTTCTTAAAACTCTGCAGGGTGAAAGTAACAAAACTTTAATGAGTTTCTGATGTCAAGAGAAATAACTCTGTAATTTCTCTCGTTGTTATTGTCTGTGCTGTGCACCTTGTGAGCAGATAATAGATGTGGAGCACGATCCTAACGCGGGTGACTCCCTGGAGTACGATGCCGAGTGGATCGCAGTGCTCAAGGCCACCAACAGCCTGGTTAATGTGACTCAGTGCTCCTGGAACATGCCTGAAAAGAACGGCCTCCATGCCAAGTACGTTGCCTGCAAAGCAGAGAGGAAAGTGGGATTTTTTTTTTTTTTGCTGGACTGGAGGTAATGTCAGAGCTGTGTTTGTGTCCTGCAGCCTGTTGTGCCTGCAGGACTTGCTGAATGCCTCGGGAAGCAAAGGGCATGCTAAGAGCTGTACTCTGGAGCAAGCAGCTTCCTTCCTGCTCTTCCTGGGCTGTTAGTTTTGTTTTGCAAACTCAGGTACCAGCACTGGAGGGACAGAGAATACCCCGTGGCTGATCATCCTGCCAGACAGATTGTGAGGCTGAAAATCAGGCTGGGTCGTGGGGGTGGGCTGACATAATACACAAATCCTTGGTGGGGAGGGGGGAATCTCAGTGCTGACCAAAGGAAACTGAAAACTTCCCTGAAAAGATCACCTGAGAAATGAGGTGTCTGTTGTGGGCTGGATTCATAACCCCTCCTTTGCAGTGGGAACAGGCAGTGCCTTTGGACCAGCTCCACTTGTTTGAACTCTCTGCACTTTTTTAGGTGGGATTACAGCGCGACCGACGAAGCCATCAAAGAGGTGTTAGAAGAGCTGAATCACAACCTCACAATTCCCTCTAACTTCACCTTGACAGCTGCTTGTTATGATCCCAGCAAGCCCCAGAAAAACATGCAGCCAGTTCATACCATCAATCCTCAGACCACCGAGTTCTGCGCCCAGTTTGGCCTCACCGACATCAACGACAGGATCCAGCAGGCGAAGGAAGAGGGCTCAGGACGGGGTGAATATGAAGAGGAGGAGGAGGAGGAGATGGACAGCACTGGGTCAGCAGAGGAGCCCAGTGAATATAACACAGATAACTCTGGCCTTTCCTCCATCAATCCAGATGAGATAATGCTGGATGAAGAAGGTGGCGATGAAGACTTGAGTACGTGCTCTGTAGATCCTTCCCCTGATCACCCCCCCGAGTTCTCCACGAGCTTCTCCGACATCCGGATCATGCCAGATTCCATGGCGGTGTCCTCCGATGATGCCATGGACTCCAACAACGAGGATCTGGAGAAGTCTGCTGGGAGTAAGCAAGGGGAGGAGAAGAGCTCCACTGAGAGACCGTTGAAGCGCGTGGGGGGTGATGAGAACGGGAACAGTGGCGTTAAAAAGATTAAGAGGAGGAATCAAGCCATCTATGCTGCAGAGGAGGAAGATAAAACAGATTAACACTTCCTGTGATGGATAACTGAGTTCTCTGCCAGCCTTTCTGTGGGAAGGTGGGGAGAACTGGTGGACTGCTCGTGCTTTTAATGTTAACGTGATCTTATTCGTTTACTTTCTTAAGCTCAAGGGGCTGGATGTACCTCTCACAGGGAAGATGATTTATCTGGTTTAAACATGGAAGTCAGAAGCAGACTTTTCCAACAAAGTACTTTGACAAAGGATTTAAAGCCTATCTGTCACTCAGTTTTGCTTCAGTCCCTGGTTATTGGTGTATGCTCCATATGTTCAGCTGTACAGCTCTGCAAGAGTCACTATGCTTGTCTAACAAGAACTTAGAATGTAGCCCAGGCCCAAGTGAGAGGATGTCTGACTTACAAGACTGAATGATTTGATTTTATTTCTTTTGTCTTGTTTTATACTGAACTTTCAATACAAAGTAGCACACAAAATAGCTCTATGAATTACATTTGGAAATAGAATTCCCAGGATAACGAAACAGCAATAGAAGAATGAAGATTTTTTTTTTTTCTGGTCATAGTCATGCCATAGAAAAACTTCATGGTCATAAACAAAACTGTGTATTGTCCTGAATTGCTTTTAATTAGAGTTTTGGTAGGGAACCAAGTCTCTTGATTTGGAGGATGATGGTTTTATGGGGACCATGGCAAAGTGCATCTCTGTTCTTAGAACCTCATTTGTGTTCTGTTTCTTAAGACTTGAGAACAATGTCTTAAAACACAAGTAGTTGGGAAGAACAGCTCCCTAAATGTGGGCATCACCACTGTCCTGGCTCTTACTGATTACTAATTAAGGCTGTGCTGTTCATACAAGGTGATGGATGTTTTTAAGTTGCCTGAGGCAGTAACACCCACTGTGATCATCAGCCTCCCTTTTCACCTGTCACTTCTTTTCAGTAGCTGTAACTTGCTGAACTCTTAGGGCTGGATTTGGAATCTTCCAAAGCACCTTCATAACCTTCAGCTGAGAATAGAGACCCTCTTGGAAGATTTCTTTCTGCTTTTTTTTCCCCTGAATTGTTAGCAATCAAATTACACTCCTTTGGCCTGAAAGGCTGTGAGGATAAAACTTCCTCAGTTCATGGCAGTGACAGTGTTTTCAAGCAGATGTCATTAGACTCCTTTCTGCCAGTATCTTCTGGTGTTCTGGGCTGAGCTTTTGGAGTCCAGACTTCCCCACAAGTGTGTTGCCCTTGGCAGCAGAAGTAGCTCCTGTGCTTTTCCCCCTCCAAGACACAGAGAGTGTGAAGGAGAAAGTGTCCTGACAGGAAGAAGGAACTGGACAGGGAGCAGTGAGTGCAATGGGTTGGTGAGTGTGAGTTCTGTAGCAGGGAAACACTTTGAGCTCAAGACTTCTGTCTTCAAAGCCACTTCCATGTCTGGGATCCACCCTGGTTCCTCTCCTGTCAGCAGTTCACTATGAAAACTAAAGGTGTGTAAATATTCAAGGGCTAGAAAAGGGCAAAATTAAAGCTCCCTCAGTTCAGTTACCAGCTCCTCTGTCAGAACAGCCCCAAAGAGCTGTACTGAGGGGTGAGGAGAACCTGCGAGTGTTTGGGGTGACCCTCAGGGTGTGTAAAGTAACTCTGAACTGTCAGATAAGGTGCTGAAGGTAGTTGAGTCTCCTTAAGGGTCCTGGGTCTGCAGTGCTGAAATCTGAATTGTGCCTTGTGATCTGAACACTATAATGGAATAAAGTATTCTAAGGATAAATTGTGTTCTGGACTCCAAAGCCTCCCGAGGACCCTGAGCGTGGTGTGGAGCTCTCAGGTTCTCTGCACTGAGTGGAACGTGTGTCTTACGTGGAATAGACTTTTCAGTCTGATTTCTTATGCTTTTAAAGTTGTTCTGTTGTGTCTTGTCCCACATCCCCCCCTTCTGATAAATATGTTTAGGCTCTTTAGAAAGCAGGAAACTTGTACAAGGTACAGTACTGATTTTTGAACCTTTTCAGGATTTTTTTATTAAGTGTTTCAGCATCCATTGAGCAGAGTGCAGCTGGTAAATACAGTTACCATACATTTTTTGGAGTATGAATCATCTCTGATCTCTAGAGCTACCAGTTGTCCACACCCTCTTTGCAGTTTGCAGTGTCCTCCCCTACCTTGCTCTCATCCCTTATGGATTTTCCCTGCTGGCAAGCTCTTCTGCTGCACGAAGATTTCCATTGAAGCTCTGAGCTGTTCCGGTAAAGGCCAAATACTTCAAAAAGTATGTAAAACTCTAGGGAAGGCTGACAACTTGAAATTGGCTTTTAAGACCCAGAGCCTCTAGTCCTCTTTAGAAAGAAGCTTTAGAGTCTCTTTGAAAAGTTTTGACTTTTGAAATTTTGGCGAGAAACCTCTGTAAAGTGTTTCTCTGTGAGACCCTTGTACTGCAGATTTTTCGATGTATGACTTTTGCACTTAATTCAAAACTGTATGTGCTGTTATTAGTGCTTGAGAAAAATGTTCACCTGTTCCATTCCAGGCCAGCACACAGGTATTTTCACTGATCTACTCAGAGGAAAACGAAAAGAGAAATAGCCTTTTTTCACAAGTGGAGTATTTTTTTAAATTAAAGCTATTAAAGTCACCTTGTGGCTGCACCCTGAAGTGTGTTTATTGAGTTCCCGTTATCCCCTGCAGTCTCTTAACAGCTGGAGAAACTCTGTGTACCTGGGAAGAGCAAAAGGTGAGACACGTGAACCTGAGCTGTGGTGTTTTTACTGGTTTTTTTTGTGTTTTTACTGTCCTGCCCCCCATTTAGTTCTGACTTGGGGTTGATATAATCCATATCCCCATACCTCAAGTCCATCCTATGGAGCTGTACAGCCACTCTGAGGGAAGCCGTGGGGTCCGGGGGGTGTTTCTGCGAAAAGCAAACTCAAAACCAAGCAAATCAAAGAGGGCGACAAAAGCAATGACAAAAAAGGGAACCCAAACCATTTATGTGCGGCAGAGGATGGGAATGGGCGGGTTGGGCTCGGACTGCGCTCGGGTTCGGCTCGACTTGGGCTCGGGCCCCGCTCGGCTCCTTTCGGCTCGGCTGGGCTCTGTTCGGCTCCTTTCGGCTCGGCGGGGCTCTGTTCGGCTCTGTTCGGCTCCTTTCGGCTCGGCGGGGCTCGGGTTCGGCTCTGTTCGGCTCCTTTCGGCTCGGCGGGGCTCGGGTTCGGCTCTGTTCGGCTCCTTTCGGCTCGGCGGGGCTCGGGTTCGTCTCCGTTCGACTCCCGACGGAGGCCGCGCCCTGTCCCCCCGCCGCGCGTGCGCAGAGCGCGCGCCGGCCCGCACGCGGCTGCCCGCGCGGGGCGCATGCGCGGAGCGGCGGCAGCGGGGGCTCGGCGGGGCCGATTCGCTGGGCCCGCCCCGTCCCCGCGGCCCCGGCCCGGCCCCGCGCCCGCCCCGACCCGCCGGACCCGCCCCGCCCGCCCGCTCCGCCATGAGCGCGGCCTGAGCCCGCCGCCAGCCCGCCCCAGGCGCCGCGGGCCGCTCCGCCAAGATGGCGTGTGTGCTGGAGGCGCCGCTCCGCATGAGCGTCCTGTCGGTGAGTGCCGGGCCCGCTGACCTTGGCCCCGGGGCCGGGCCCGCTCTGCCCGCCGGGGCCGCGCTCCTTCCCCTCAGCGCCCCGAGCCGGGGCGGGTTTGCCCCCCCCGAGCGGCCCGGGCCGGGGCTGCGGAACTGTGTCGTTACCGTGGCACGGCCCGGGCTCGGCGGCTCCCGCGGGCCGCCCGTGCCCGGGGTGCGGAGCGGGGCAGGGGCTCCCTGTGCCCGCCCGCCCTGCCCGGCCGGGCGCGGCTCTCCCCCGGGGCCGCGGGGGGCTCCGGCAGCCCCCGGCACAGCCCGAGAGGTCCCGGGCTGTGCGGCAGGAACGGTGCGGAAAGCACGGCCGGGTGCTGCTGCCCGCGCTGGGGGTCGGGGCTTTTGCTTTTTTTTCCCCCCCAAATTCGCCTGGACACGAACGCCCTTCTGCGTGCTGCGGACCTTGTAGCTAGCTGGTGGTGTGAGAGTCAGGGTATTTTAGAAACAGCTGCGGGGTCTCTGAAGTCCTAAAAACTTCTGCCTACAAATACATGGGTCAGACAGCTCAAAGCTGTTCCGAAGAATATTGTCTTTCGTTACACGATGGAAGTTTATCTGTAGGGTTTATGTGGCACAATTTAATGGTACTCCTGGAGACAAAGGAGCCCTGCTGTCTCTGGATGACTCTCCTCTGCTAGGTGAGACCAGAGGCAAGGAGCTGCTGCTGCCTCTGACATCGGTGTGGGGAAGCAGGAGCAGAGGCAGTCCCTGAGCAGACACTTGCAAAAGCAAGGAAGAGTTCTCAATTCCCTTATAGCTTCTCTCAAGGAAAACTCCTAAAGAAAAACTGGGAAAGGCTTAATAAAAAGTGAGCTGGCAAGAAGAAGAAGAGGTGAGATAATGGAAGCACAGCCTGGCACGTGTTCATGAGAACCTGCAGGGAAAATTCCCTTCCCCTTTCCCACCCTTGTTTTTTGGAACGCTTTCCATCTCCAACCTTGGATCTTCTCAAAAGGAATAGCAAATCATTAGTGCATAAATGTGTAGCTTACAAGCATGGTCCTGTTGCTGGGAAGAGTTTGCTTTGTTTTCTGAAGCGCTGTGGGAATCCTGTGGGGAATATTGTGGAGAATATTGTCCTGCTGTCCCCACTGCAGTTGTGTGGGGCAGGCTCTGAAATGTGTAGGTATGTTACAGAAAAAAGTCTTACCAGCTTCCCTGTTTTGGAGAGGTTGTGGGTATGTGTCTTGAGCAACATCAACTGCTCCTAGAAACTTTTTCTTTCAGGAATTCATATTTATTCAGTACAGTAATTAAACATAATAAAACTCCAGTTCGAGGCAGTGCTGATAATGCAGCTCATAAATAGCTCTCTGTTACCTTGCTCTGACACCGTGTTGTTATCTACATTAAGCACCTCATCTTCCCTAAATCACACCTGAACACAGGGTTAATCCCTGGGTGGATGTTGCCCAGCAGTAACACGTGTCACATTTAAATGTCATTCTGTAGGTTTGCTGCCTCTTGCCTGAGCGGTTTTGTGGAGCCGCTGCTGCATAAGCCATTCCTGTTCTCCTGCCTTTCTCTGAGTTGATATAAACTGTTGCCATTGCTGTTTGTTTTCTCTCTGCAGGAGGTCACAGCCAGCAGCCGCCACTATGTCGACAGATTGTTTGACCTCGACCCCCAGAAAGTCCTGCAAGGTGTCATGTAAGTCATTGGAACACCCCTGGGCTCTTGGTTGTGTGTAGGCAGGGGGTACTCGATCCCACTGGAGCTGTAGGGCAGGGGCAGGAAGCTCTTCTTGTCTTTTTTTTGAGAAATCTAGTTGGCAGATCTTAATGCCAACATGGTAGTATTGCTATAGGGATGGACACTATTGATACAGACTCTCTGTAGTGCATATGGGTCATAATGCAGCTTCCCAGTTGCCAAAAATGAGGTTTAACATTCTGTGAACGTTGACAAACTTTTTTGGATACACTTCTTCCTTTTGGCCACCTTTTGCTCCTCTTCCAGGTCTGTTGAGATTCTTTTCTCTTCCTCCACTGCTGAGTCAGTGTATTTGCCTCTTACTCTTCCCCTGCTACCCTGCCTCAGTGTTGGCTTTTATTTTTTTAATGCTTGGCTTCTGTCTCACCATGGGAACTGCAAGCTGAAAGAAAATGCTTCCAGAGAAATTAATTTGGATGCAAATTATATTTCAGTACTTCTGTTGCATGCCAGTGGTCAGGGGCAGTGACTGAGAGAGTGAGGGAAGGACTTGTCCTGCTGCAAAGGTCTGGTTGTTTCCTTGCTGTCCCTGGGCTATGAGCTTTCCATCAGAGCCACACAACGATGTGGCAAACGAGTCCCTGCCTGGGACTGACTTCTGGTGGTGAAACAGGACCTTTTTGGGCTTACCAGTAACTTGCTGGCTGTGCCTGTCTAGGAAAATGCCAGGAAACATCAAAGGACCGAGTGGATCAGAAAGCCAAGGATATTGGTTGTGTTGCTTAGCACAACCTGAGGCGTTTTCCAGTAGCAGATGAAAACAGTTATTCCAAAAGGTGCCCCAGGGCAACATATCAGAATTCGTGTCCCCTTAAAATAGGTGAAAAACAAAACAGACATGAAAATGTCCTAGAAACGTCCTTGGCTGAAATACCCCCTTAGCTGTACAAAACTTGTGATACCCTCCCATAGCTCTGTACAGGTTCTTAACTCTGCTGCAGGAGAGTCTGGTTTTGCTCCCACCCCTTGGCCTTCCTAGTCCACTCCTGCAGGGGCTGGTGGGGTGGTCCTGGGGCGAGGATGTGTCTCATCCAGTGTCCCAGTGGGGTGACTGAGCCCCTCTTTTCTCCTTGGCAGATGCTCTGAGCCCTGGCTGGCGCTCCCTCCCTGCTCTCCTTTCTTTTCAAAGGACTGGAACCCACAACCCTTGGTAATCCCTTCCCTATCTTTTGATGTGTTATTCATACCTTTTGAAGTTTAACTGATTTCCCAGAAACAGGAAGTTTTAGGCGGCATCTTTGTCTCAGTTAACATCTGAAATTCTTCATCTTGTCCGTGATTGTCAGTGGATTCTATGCTGAGATGCTTTTCTTGTATTTAAAGACAAGAAAATACCAATTTATTTCGTAATATCTTTTGCTGGGCAGATTTGGATGGTGAAACTGTGTTTGTGCTGCTCTGGTTGGAATCTTCATTGTGGGAGTGCGTCTTTGCTGACTCTGAGCCAGTCCTGTGTGGCAGATGTGGTGTTTCCAGGATATTGCTGGGTGGATGTGAAACACTCCAATGAAGGGAAATGTATATAAAAAATAGAATTTAGAGTAGTGTATGTATTAAACATTCCTGTCAGCCCAGGGTTCTCTTTGGGCAGAGAAATACTGCTTTTCCCTGCGTCCTTTGACTTCAGGGTGTCTGCAGAGGTGTTGAAGCTGGGATGAACTGATGTTTGGGGTGGAGTAGAGCAGGGTTTCAGTTCTTCCAAAATGCCTCTCAGAAGCTTTATCAGCTATGCTGCATCCTTTGCAGAAAGTCTTTGTTTCCTAAGATGTGCTGGTTTCTTTTCCTGCATCCTGGCTGGAAATACTGATGACCTAGATTTTTATTTTGATTGATGGAACCGTATGAATATCAAGCATCAGAAAATAGACTGTTGTAAGAGGCTTTGTTTCTGCAGATTGTCTTCAGTTACAATAGTCCTGTTTTTAATATGCTTGAATGAATAACTTGGGGCCTTTTTTTAATTGCATCCTTGTAATTTTAATGAAACCCAACTTCTGAATGAGCTTTGATAAAGGTAAGATGTAGCTAAATGCTTCTTGAACTTGAAAATCATGCCAATCCAGTTTTCATCTTGTAACTTGAGAAAGCTTTAATTACATATTCTGGAGGTATTTAAATGATCAGAATCTCTTCTTTTCCTCTCTTTCCCATGAATTTTCAGAGAGGTGGTGTTCAGATTCTCCTTTGTCCAGGCAGTGAAGCTTCACCTGGCTGGGAAATTTTTCCTTTTCCTCCTAATGGGAAAGCAGAACCCTGTCGTCTGGTACTGCTGCCTGTAGTTCTGTTGATCTCATTTAAAAATGCCAGGTTTCCTGCAGAACTTCTGTTCACATCACTTGTACCACGTTCAGTTGGGTGTTGATAGTGGGTAGGAAGGGGACAATTTGGAGTACCTGCCAGTAAATCCTGAGTCTGAGCTCAGGGTTTGGAACCCTGAGGTTCCTACAGGGGTGACCCCTGCCTTTTACAGCACTTGGCAGGGAACCAAAGTGTTCAGGGCCCCTCTCCATACCCACACCTGTGTGGCTGTGTGTGTACCCACCTTCTCTTGACTGTCTTTGTAGATGAGCAAGATTAATACAGTAGTTTCCTTCTGTAAATGTGAACCCTACATCGTGGCCATGCTTATGCTCGAGAGGTCTGTAGGGTTTGCTTTGTGGCTCCTGAGGTGCTCCTCTAACCCTTGTTGTACAGCTCAGATTCCCTGCAGGGAGCTCTGAGTGCACAGTGCAAGGTCAGCACTGTGTCAGGTGTGCAGCTCTCAGGGCATTGGCTGTGGGCAGGTA